TTGTACTCTTTTACTTTTTAACATGTAAGACTGCAGATGGTTCTACATAGTATAATAGCTAGTAACTAGATGTTTTTAGTTATAGTCCAGCAAAAGTAGCATTTATTCCTATGTATAACAAAGTTATTAACACATACTGCCCAGTTCTTTAAACCAAACTAAAACGTCAGCTAATTGTCACTGGTCATTTGACAACTGCTGTAGCATCTAAAAAAGCTGAAAAAATGCCAAAGCAAGTCCAGATAAAATTAGCCTTACAGACATAAACCTACATGGAAGGCTACAAGGCCTGTGACTGGCAACAGGTATGTGGCTGTGCTAGCTTTACTGGACGGTAGGACTGCATAGAAAGTTGTAATTCAGTAGATATTGAATGATTCCGTCAATGAACTGCGGAAAGCTATTCAGCTCAGTGGAATAATTTAGCTAACATTGTAACGTGAGACCGATTTCATTACTTCAGTGCTTTTTAAAAAGCTTCATTAGACAGTACGGTTTGTGAATGGTCGTATCAGTTCTTCTTTAGCTTGCTGATAATTTTGCATGTTAGATCCGAAAGAGGTTAGAAGAATGGATGGGCCTCTTTAAGCACGCAAAGGAGGAGCTTGAGAGTTAACAAAAATGTTATTCTCAATTTTTATTTTTAAGTAGATGTCAGCTTCCTGTCTTAAGGCCTATTTTCAGTCCCTTCTCTTTCCTGGAGATTTCTCTTCCGTGAAAGAATATATATCAAACTAGTTTTGAAAGAAATCCTTTGAAAACTATCTTAAAAATTGCACTAATTAAGGGAGATGCAGCATTTCCAGAATACATTTGTGTGTGACTTGTTGTCCTCATTAGGGATTTTTTTCCCCAAATTACTGGCAGTAGTTCAATCAAAAGGAAAAGCTGAACATAAAAGTGAAGATTTTCCTGTTGACTGGTATGGCTTTCAGTGGAAGACTTAAGTGAATTGCATGGTTGGGAGGGGAGTTTTGCTTCTGTGATCTTTTCATTGTTTTCTTTTTTATTATGTTTTGCAGAGAAGGGTAGAATTCAAGAAAAGAGGAACATTTTTTTAACTTGCCTTTATATGCAGAGGAATGTTTCACTTAATCCTAACTCAGAGCAAATTCTCTTGCCCAGTTGAGAGTTTGCATATATTCCTAAGTAGTCTCTGTGATGTGAATTTCCCAAAGCACTGAATAAACCACACAGTAATGAGGAAAAAATAATTCAGAGAAAGAACAGAAATGTTGAGCTTTTATCTACTTATTCTGGTTTCTTTGTATATGACTTGTTCATTTGCTTATGGTCCTAATTAATATTCTACTTCAAGCTTGCAGTTTTGTATTGTTTCTGTGTGATATAATCTTGGTGCATATTTCTTCTGGGGGGGAAGCAGGGCGAAGACACTAATTGTAATGAATTTTAATTTCGGCTCTAGAAATCATCTGTAATTTTTTGCTTGTAAAAGCAGTGTCACTGACTGGATCTGAAAAGTTGTTCCTTCCTTCTGCATAACTGTTCTATAAGCACTAAGACTTTGGGAGGCTTGATGAAGGGAAGAGACAAAAAATTCTCTTATGTTTTTGTACACAAGTGGCCAAGGGCTTTTTGTGTCAGTTACAATTTTGGGCTCCAGATGACATTTTTGTGGAATATTCTTAGAAATGCAATTTTCCATTCTTGTCCTGCTCCTAGCAAACAGGTAAGATCTTCATCTCCTGTCTTTGCATAGAGGGAATTAGCTTTAAAGCGGTTTTGATGTTTTCAAGACTCTTAATGAGTGATTTCATTTCAATGATCAAACAAGAAATCTTTAGTCTTATTTTTACTGCCATTGTTTTATTCTTTTTTTTTTTCTTGAGAAAAAATACTACACAAAAGCAGTATATAAAGTGGCTGAGAGACTGAAATGGCTAGACATTTTTTTCTTGCTGAAAATAACGGATGAGGAAGGAGAATGACTGGCTTAACTTGTTCAGATGAAATCCTGACCAGATTGGCATACTGAAATTACTTTTGGAGCTATAAGAAATCTTTTGTAATATAGAATCAGTGTTTTATGTCCTGCTAAAGAAAAGGTTTAACATACAAATGCTGAAAATATTCTCATGAAAATGATACAGTTGCACACCTTTTTAAGGAGGTAGGAAAGTCTTAGCTGACACAAACCTGAGATGGAGAAAGCATCTCCTTATATGGTCTGCAATTCAGATATTAAAAGAAGGGAGGAACTTTGTTATGTGCTTTTGTTTTTGATGGACTTTGCCTGGATGAGGACACTTGTGTACTTTAGAATTGAATTTCCAGACTTGAGGGCAGAAATAAACGCATTGTTTTTTGTCATTCATCCATTTTTTTTTTCTCAAGGTTATGAAAATATGTATGTATTTCTCCACCTTCCCTCTCTCCTTTGGTGCTTTTCATCTTGCTTGACATTTGTTTTATTTCAGGTTCCTTAATGTTCCATTTCTGCTTCTAATGGATAAAGTAGAGACAACAGTAGCTTCTAATTGTAGTTAGCTTTCAAAGTGGCATTTGCCAGAGCATTTAGTCTTTCAGAGTTGTATAAATGAACCAAACCAAAACCTTGGGTGAGCTGAAATAGGTTCATGGAACTACTCATAAATTGTGAATTTATACAGTGGTTTGGATTGATGTTTGATTTTCAAAGTTTAAACATGAGCAGAAGATTTAATGGATTTGTATAACCAATGTAAATATTTGCTCACTATATACCGCTGTGTTTACTGTGTGTGGAGCAGGTAGTGATGATAATGCCAAGCCTTTTCTAGTCCGATTTTCACATGAATTTTACAGGCTTGCAACCATTTAGCCAGATTTTCTTTTTAAGTAGCATGTATCTAAGACACGTGATAAAAAATAACTTAGTATTTTCAAAAGACATTACTTGTAAAAATTTACTGTCTGAGAAGAAAGCTGATTCCTTTCAAAAAGGTCAACTGAATGTTTGAGTGCAGTAAGTACATTTAGTACAGTGAAAAAGGAATTAAAAGATATTCTCAAGATAAAGCAAGCATGCAAAATGCGTGGGTAAGGAGGAGTTGGTGCACATTGTGCACATTATTTCAAGGTCTTTGCATGGTCCCCCACTACATCCTTATCTCTAAATTAGAGAGAGATGAGTTTTGAAGGCTGGACTATTTGGTGGATAAAAAATTGCTTGAATAGTCATAGCCAGAGAGTTGTCGTCAGCAGATCTATGTGGCAGTGATGAGTTGTGTCTCCCAGAGTTTGTCCTAGGACCGATGCTCTTCAACATCATTATCAACAAACAACATGGACAATGGGAAGCTGAGTGGCGCAGCTGACACAATAAAAGTAAGGGATGCCATCCAGAGAGACTTGGATGGGCTCAGAAAGTGAGCACATGAGAACCTAATGAGATTCAATAAGCCAAATGGAAGTTGTTGCCCTTGAGTTGAGAGAATCCCGGATATGAGTACAAAGTGGGTGAAGAATTCATTGAGAGCAGCACTGTGGAGAAGGACTTAGGGGTCTTGATGGATGAAAAGCTGGACATGAGCCAGTAGTGTGCACTTGTAGCCTGGAAGGCCAACAGTATCCTGGGCTGCACTGAAAGGAGGATGACCAGCAGGGAGAGGGAAGATGATTATCTGCCTCTACTCGGCTCTTGTCAGGCCCTTTCTGGAGTACTGTGTTCAGGCCTTGGGTCCCCAGCACAAGAAGGATGTGGAGCTTTTGGAATGGGTCCAGAGGAGGGCCATGAAGAGGATCAGAGGGCTGGAGCACCTCCCCTACAAAGAAAGGCTGAGGGATTTGGGCTTGTTTAGCTTGGAGAAGAGAAGGCTCTACGGGGACCTCATTGCAGCCTTCCTTCCAGTCCTTGAAAGAAGCTTACAAGCAGGAAGGGGACCAACATTTCACATGGTCTGAAAGTGATCAGACAGGGGGGAATGGCTTTAAACTAAAAGAGAGAAATTTTAGTTTAGATGTTAGAAATTGCAGTGGTGCAGTGGTTTGGGGTACCCAGAACTTTAGAATGCTTCGTGGGCCTTTGCACAACTCTGTCTAGGAATCTTAAATAAGAATAAAACCCAGGATTTCCATATGATGGGGACAAAATGAGCTATGTTCCTATTCATAGTACATTATTGGCAGTTACTTTCCTGGCTGAAGGCTTTTTAAAAGGGTTTTTCTTACCAGTTCAGTGAAGAAAGGACTGCAGTGCTGGGGTGAGTTCTCCTGATGGTGCCTGACAGTGTGACTGCTCTGTTCTGCTCCAGGAATGAGCACTGGTGACATGAGTTATTCAGTGCTTAAATTCCAAGCGAAAAGGTTATAAAGGCAGTGAAGACCATTGGGAAAAAGTGCTGAATTTTCACCCTTGACTGGGCACTGATAAGCAGGGTTGTTTTTCTGCTTGCATTTGTAAACCTGTGTTCATTTCAAAAGGGAGACTGATAGATGTAAATGGAAGTGAAGTTGAACTATGAATATAATTTTAAGAGTTATTCTGCATCAGTACTCTGACAATGTACTGTAAAGGTTAAATTGAGTGCAGATCAGATCATTTAGCTATGGTTTGGTGATTAATGTTGAGCGATACAACTTATGAATGCTATTTTCAATTATTTACTGAAAAAGCCAACAGGTCTTGTGGGAACTCTGCAAAATCAAATCAAACCAATAGACTGTGATTTTGCTCCTAAGGTGATTGTGACCTTGAGTAAAAGTCTCTTTCCTCCCCTCTCCTACATATAGAGCTGACATGCACATCATCTGTCCTTTTGAGAAGTCCTCGATACCATTCATATTTAACATTGTTATCAAAGGTTCTTTGCTTCCAGGCCTAGCCATTAAAATAGATGGGGTGGGAGATGCTGACATGATAGTTTTGCAAATGTTATCTCAGCAGTTTGCATATATTATTAAATCTGTTAATGAAGATGGGGAAGAATCAGGCAATTAACAGCTCGGAATTGGCTGTATTGCTGCATTAACTCTTGTTCCTCTTTACTTTGATATTTCAGTGCTGCGACTGTTGAAAGATGGTGCTGACCCTCATATGCTTGTTTCCTCAGGAGGTTCCTTGCTCCATCTGGTAAGAGTGATTGAATATTAGTGTTAGTGACTGTGGATAAATACAGTGGGGTACTGAGTAGCAGATTGGGAATATCAGCAAGAAGAATGTCTTAGCAGTACTTTTTTTAGTCTACACTGTCCTCCATGGTCATTAATAAGGCATCCAGCTATGCATGTGAAATAAATGGTCATTTTCAAATTGCTTATCAAAGGGTGGATCATATTCTAGGAGTGGTAACTATCCAAGTAAAATGAGACGTTGTATTTATAAATTATCTGCACAGTTAGAACAAAGGAAATACTGTTTGATTTTGAAGATAGAATTGTGTGTCTCAGAGATTCATAGTTCCTATATAAAGAACACCATGATATAACATTTTCCTTTTCTTTTTGTGCATATTTTCTTGCACTAATTTTCTACTCATAGATATTTAACACAGTCTGCATCTGGTTCATCATTATTTGCATTGCCACTTGGATTAAGTAGAAGATAGAAGGAAAACTGCTCGTATGCAGTGATCAAAAGAGAAGCAAGATGTAAGGGCATGTAGGAGAAAGACTACCATACAGAAAACATTATAGAGACAGAAGCCATTGGCAAAGGTTACCACAAATTCTTAAGTCTGATCATCCTTTGTGTCCTCTGTGATGCTTCAATTGTAGATGTGGTTTCTGTTCAATGTGAAACTATTTTAAGATACTTGAATTCTACTTTTATTTCATAATGCTGCTAAAATAAATGTGACTTCAGAAATATGACAAGGGCATTAAAGATCTAGTTAAAAGTCTGCTTGCAGAATGTTTTATTTTAGATTTTGGAAGCACTTTTGAAAATTTTTTGCTTAACAATAGCTTGAAAATGTGGTTGGTTTCAGATTATGTTGATCTGTACTGTAAAATTTCTTATCTCTGATGAACATCAACAACTGAATTTAAATTATGCTAGTGATACTAAGGAATGGTACTGTTGCAATGAAACTGTCAGTTTCTGAAGCTGTCATTTACTCTGCAAACTAAAGGAAATACACTACATCAGAATTTAATTTCTGTTGAATAATTTGTCAGTATATTTGAAAATTGTTTAATGCATTACTGCTTTTTAACCTCCAAGAGTTTAGTTTTCATCTGTATTTATGAACTCAATATTATGTGCAACTCCTACATTCACCAAGGTACCTCAGCTATGTTTTGACTGCACAGAGGAACCCATCTTGGCACTTTTCCTTCTTCCCCCTTTCCTCCTAGTGTCCTAGCTTCCATATCATATTAATGCAGATGAGCAAACTGGATGCCATGGTGTGGTTCTGCACATGATATTAGATGTGACAGAATAATTATTCCATACTCACTTGCAAATTAGCAACTTGATCTCCTTCTAATGACCCACCTGGTGGATGAGGGAAAAGCTGTTGACTTAATCTACGTAGATTTCAGCCAAGTCTTTGATGCTGCCTCCCACAATATTCTCCTGGAGAAGCTGGCAGTCCATGGCTTGGACAGATACACTCTTTGCTGGTTAAAGAACTGGCTGTATGGCTGGGCCCAGAGAGTGGTGATGAATGGAATTAAATCCAACCACTGAGCGACCAGTCACAAGTTGTATTCCCCAAGAGTCCGTATTGGGGCCTATCCTGTTCAGTATTTTTATTGATGACCTGGATGAGGACACTGAGTAAGGACACTGTAAGTTCGCAGATGACTCCAAGCTGGGAGAAAGTGTTGATCTGCCTGGGACTAGAATGGCCCTTCAGAGCCTGAACAGACTGAGTCGCTGGGCTGAGGCCAATGGGATGAAATTCAGCACGTCCAAGTGTCAGGTCCTGCACTTTGGCTACATCAACCTCAGCCAATACTACAGGCTTGGAGCAGAATGGCTGGAAGTCTGTGTAGAGGAAATGGACATAGGAGTATTGGTTGATGCTTGGTTGAACACAAGCCAGTAGCGTGCCCAGGTGGTGAAGAAGACCAATAGCATCCTGACTTCATCGGAAATGCATTGCCAGCAGAAACAGGGAAGTGATCATCCCCCTGTATTCAGTACTGATGAGACTGCATCCTGAGTATTGTGTTCACTTTTGGGCCCTTCACTACAAGAAAGACATTGAGGCCCTGGAACATATTCAGAGAAGGGCAATGAAGCTCATGAGGGATCTAGAGTACAAGCATTATGTGGAGAGGCTGAGGGAGCTGGGATTACTCAGTATGGAGAATAGAAGGCTCAGGGAAGACCTTACTGCTCTCTACAACTACCTGAAGGGAGGTCGTGGTGAGCTGGGGGTCAGCCCCTTCTCCCATGTAAGCAGTGATTAGGATTAGAGAGAATGACCTCAAGTTGCACCAGGGGAGATTCAGGTTGGTTGTTAGTGAATGCTTCTCCAAGAGAGCGATCAGGAATTGGCACAGGCTGTCCAGGGAGGTGGTAGAGTCACCGTCCCTGTAGGTGTTCAAGAAACATTTAGATGTTGTACTGAGGGACGTGGTTTAGTGGGAAATAATGGTGGTAGGTGGATGGTTTGACTGGATGATCTTAGAGGTCTTTTCCAACCTTGTTGATTCTATGATTCCGTGATATTTTTCACAAATTTCACTGTATTTGTGCACTTACTGTATATGTGTGATTTCCAGGGCAAGGAAATGTTGCACAGCTGTAAATATTGTATGAGGCATAGATATTAAGAATGATATTGAAAGCACCCAGGTACCTAATATAGAAACTTAGGCTCCTTGTAGCCTCTGCAGTGGAGAAAGATTATTCCTCCTCTACTTACTGAACTCATGTGCAAGGCCAGAGTCAGGATGTTACCTTAGGTGCTCTAATTTCCTTATGTAGCATCCATAAGCACATGTGGTCTGAGATGTGGCAAAAAGCATAAGCTGAAAACAATGCCTGTGCTAATTTATTCTTCTTTGCAAAAAAATTGCAAAAAACATATGCTTACATGCACACACCCACACTACCCCAAGCACACTTGTAGTGTGCAGCATATGTGTTTGTCAGAGAGTCTTGAACAGGAATCACTATGGGTAATGGTGTGAAGTATAGAGAGGTGTGTATTACTGCTACAAACTGCATAAAAAGGTAGGAGTTAGCGTGTTTGTGATGTATACGAGTGTGAGTGTGAATATACTTGCAGCCTACTGCTCATGATGCATTCATTCAGTTCCTGTGTGCTAATTTGGAAGGACAGTATTGAATGAATAGAAAGCTCATCTTCACTGCAGCTTTCAGCAGATTTCATTTAGCGCTTTTTCACAGGGAATAAGGGATTCCATGAGCCACACGCATGGAACTTGGTGTTTCTGCAGAACTATTTCTATAGATTCATCTGCTGTCTACAAACATATCATCTGCTAAATTTAAATAGAGAAAAAAATATGTAATAAATTCAATTGTACATGGAGTATAATGCTATCCCTAATCTGCTCTTTCTTCTAGTGTGCTCGCTACGATAATGCATTTGCTGCAGAAATTCTGATTGACAGAGGAGTGAATGTAAATCATCAAGATGAGGATTTTTGGACATCAATGCATGTAGCCTGTGCGTGCGATAATCCTGATATTGTCCTGCTGCTGCTGCTAGTAAGTAAAACAGCCCAAGGCACTGTGTGCTTGAAAAGGAAACAGAATGTAGCACCATACAGTTTGAAATTGCTGTGTGAAAGCACTACATTGCTAATCATATCAGTGAAAGCATTTATTATGTATGTTTATTTTTTGACGCTATTTTGGTGCTCAGGATTTTTTAAGATATATAACAGGACATTTTTTCAGGTCTTTAATAAGAATACATTATGAATGTATGTCATGACAAGTCTCCCTTGTCTTTTCCCTGTAGTCAGAAGCTTAATATCTCTGATAAGCACTCAGTCCCAAATGGGATACTCAGATAATTTTTCTTTTATCCTTGTCACTTTCTGTTAAGGGTGAGTTGGCAGACAATCTTATTAAAACCTCCTTCTTAAAAATAAATATTCACTCGGTTACACTCAGTATTCATAAAGAAGTGTTTGTGGACATGACCAAAATGAGGCCAATTTAATATTTGTCTAATCAACTGTAATCAAGCCGTATATACCCAGTGTAGTGATAGTTATGACATTCAGCCTCTATAGAGGACAACTTTGTTCTTGGGCTTCTGTTCCTGAGACTGCAGCCTTTAGTTTTAGTGCAGGATATTAAAGCAGCTGTTTGTCCCATTTTGTTTCCTATTGCTTTTTAAAGCAGTAGTGCAGAAACAATTCACAGTCTGACAGTTTTCTAATCTATTTGCATCAATTTAAAATTTGTATATATTTTTTAATAGGTCATTGCAAGTAGATTAGCATTTTTTAGTATATTATAATGATATTTCAATGTTACAGTTAAAACTAAGGGAGAAATATTTTTGAAAGACTGTATACTTGGTAATAGTTTCACTCTGGAAGATTGTTTATTCCAACCCTTCTGCTTGGAGCACAGCCAGCCACAGCAGCTTGCCTAGGACCTGGTCCAGTCAGATATTGAATATCTGGAAGGATGAGAATTCCAGAACCAATCTGGGCAACCCACTGCTATATTTGACCACCTGCATAGGAAAAAGGCTTTTTCTTAGGTTTAAACGATTTTTTTTGTATTTTGGTTTGTGCCTGTTGTCTCTTGGTCCTTTCACTAAGCACTACTCAGAAGAGCTTGGCTCCATCTTCTCCACTCCCCCAATCAAGTATTTATATAAACTGATACGATTCCCCTGAGCCTTCTCAAGTCTGAGGAGTCAGCCTCACTTTGTATGACAGATGCTCCAATCCCTTCAACATTATTATGGCTTTTTGCAAGGATTGCCCCAGGATGTTCACATCTTTCTTGTACTGGGGAATCTGCCTTATCAGTTTTGAGCTTCCACCAGTGCCTTGGCCTGCTGGTAGTGAAGTTTAGAAAATCTGTGTCTGCAAGAGCTTATGTTGGCTAGTGTTCAACTTGTCTACCATGACCCTTCAGACCTAATCTCAGCAGTACTTTGTGTGGAAACCTGTCTAGTTAGACATAGATAGCTGGCTACATTTGTCCTGTAGGGGAGTATCTGTCTCTGCCTGAAGGTTATAGCTGGGAGCCACTGATCTGGAACTGTATGCCTGTACCAGCTCAGAAATCAAGCTATCATATTGAGTTGTAGTTTGCTGAATAGATGAGTATACTGGGTGTCAACCTTCTGGCTTGCCTGGGCCACGTAGAGTGAAGAGAAATTGTCTTGGGCTGCATGCATGTAGACTGCTCCAAAAATAAATCCTATTTATTTCCATGGAAATGACAACAGCTATGAAGAATGCAGTGATACTGTTTATTTGAGAAAATTCTCAGCTACAACAGACTATCTTTCCACACAGTCACCACCATTAGTTATCATTTTTGCCAGTGATTAACAAAAGCCCGCATACTGCATTAGTAAAAATATGTACCAGCAGAGGTAATCCACTGTTGCTGTTGTCACTGCTGAAACATATCACCCACTGAGTTCACATCCACTCTTTGGTCTTTACAAATATTCAGGAAGTGTCAATGGATGTCACTGAGTGTCATTTTTTCCTCATGGAGGAGTTCATTGACAGCCTTTTGCTTCTTATGCACTTCCATGTCAGATGCCATTCTGTCAGACTCCCCCTCTACTGTCTTCTGTCACATGATGACAAAAAGTAACGAAATATTGGCAGGAAGCTTCAGCCTCTGCTGTCCTATTACCAACATCTGCCTCTGTGATGTCATGGACCAACATAATAAAACAGGAGGCATTGCTTTTGCAGCAGCTCATATTAAATGTATGATATAGTTAATGCATATGAAGTAACCAAACTTATTTTATTATTATTATTTTTTAATTGAAACGTGTAAGAAGTGAACAACAAAAACATAAAACCGGTGGGATATTTGACCTTGTTTTTGTGAAACTAACACATTAGTTGAGTTTGATGGCAGTAGTTGCAGTTAATAAGTTCTCAAGATGTACAATAGAGATTTTTGATGAAACTTTATTTTTTTCTCTGCTTCATCCTTGAGAATATTTGTTCACAAATGAACATACTGCCAAATGAGATAATAAGGCAGGACTTTGAAATGAAGGATATTTCTCTCTTGTGAGAGAGCGCTTATAGAAGACTCATAAAGAGACATGATCAGATTTTTGATTACAACTGTGTACATTCCATATGAAAATTTACAGGTGATGTATTTATGACTAAAAATGGAATTGCAAATACACAAAAAGAAATGATTTTTTGGCAATCTTGAAACCTGTCCTCAAGTTCCTTTGTCACAACGGAAAGCATGGCTGTGTATTTTTGCTGTTCACGGGACTGTGTTTAGCCAATATATTGAAATCTATACACTTCTTTGCCATAACTCAAGCTGCCACTGCACTGTGCCCCATGTGCTAATTTCAGTTCAGATAGCGTTAATAGCACACTGATGTTTGATTGGTGTTAAGGGACCAGATCTTCTCTATGGGGCAGATCTATGATGGTGTGGAGCAGCAGGTGGCTGCAGTGTGAGCTGTGCCAGGCTGTGGGTTGGACATTCCCAGAATTGCCATCACATTCAATTTGCCATCACAAGCAAGCAGTCTTCAGCAGTAGTGAGAATAATCTTTGGATTTACTTAATCATAGTGAATTATAGTGATACGATTTGACTCTTCTAACTCTAATATATAATGCTGTGTATCTGAAAAAAGGACTGTCGTTACCACCTGACCTTCTGTAAATGACCTGGGCTACAGTGAAACCTTCATTTGGAACGTGGAGTTACTTTTACACTGTTCTGTGATTGCTTTTTTCAGTCTGTACCTTTGGTTCCTTTGGTTTTAATGTTGAGCTATATCAAATCTTATCTTGTAATCTCAGGATTCTGATGGCCTCTGAGACTGCACCTGCTCTAGAAAACTAAACTGAGTCCAGGAACATTCCTGGACTGTGATAGACTGTGATAATCTGTACTAGTAAACTGCTAGAAAGGTCTGTGGCATGAATTTGGTATGTGCCTTTTGGATTCCTTCTGGACAATTTCCCAGTGCAAATTTTTGAAATGCATTTGCATGGTACATTTTGTATCCAGCTCATATGATGTAGAAGCTGAGAGATTTTACTGGACTAAGTGAGGTCTGGCACATGCCAGCTGGCTGCAATGCCTCGAATTTTCCCAGGTACATTTTTTTTTTCCCAGTAGTAGAGTTGCAGCCTTTATCGTATTTGGCTATGTTTGGAATGTTCATTTCTTTACCTTTTCTATTACAGATGTAATGTATTTTTTGAATTCTACCTGTCCTTCTAAACTGATAAACAGATTAGAATGGAGAAGCTTGTCCAACAATTCCTGTACTGAACAATGGGGAATTTCCAGAAATACTGCATGCTATGCTGTTGTTAACATTAACAGGAGCAGCTAGCAGGTATGCTGGACACTTCTGAAGTCTTCCCTGCCTTTTTTTTTTGTAAGCCCAATCTAATTTAAAAAACATTACGTATTTCTACACATAGTTATATCCGAAATTATTTTTTTGATTCCCATCATTTGAATGTTGTTTCATACTGTTCCTGTTTATTACAAGCCGTCTTCTCCATGTATCTTCTGATAACTTGGAATAAATAGATCATCTTATATATTAAGGTCTTGGTAAGCAGAGTTACATCCATATGTATTTTTACATTTAGTGTTGGAATTCTCTATCTAATTTGCAAAACCTTTAATAAATTTGCCTACATTCTGGGTAGTAAGCATTTTTTAAGGCATACTTTCCTTGGCTGTATAAATAATACCTTTATACTCTCCATTCTAGAGTGTTAATAATAAAGAGAGTACTGTGGAGAGAAAGGGAATTATTCTTATATAAGCAGTGGTTTTTGAACCATGACATTAATTCTGTCTTTAATAATATTTGACAAAGTGAAAATGGAAATTGAGGTTGGAGGCAAGTATTTTTCACAACCTTGAGCTGTCTTTGTGTGAACGTTTGATATTAGAAATTACTTGGCCTTGAGGTTGGAGTGTTTCATGGGCCATGTCTAATGTGTAGCGTGAGCCTGGATAATACTAATACAAGCCATAGGCAGCTCCTATTATGTCACAGATTTTAGCTGGAAGAATAAATAACACTTCGTGTACCCTCATGAATTACTTTTAGATAAATATTTCTTCTAGATTGACTTTATAACCTAGACAGTGCTCTATTATCTGTTTTAAATATATGACCCAAAAAATAACAGCAGGTCTTTCAACTGAGACCTGAGCAAATTCTAATTCCTACCAAACACTCATACAAACCAGTGGAGGTTTCTTTAGTGTGGGTTTCAAAATGTTTCCTGAAGGGAAAATAGAAAAAAGGGGAATATAGAGTATATAGATCTGAGAAGACTATCAATGAAGACTTAATTAAGCATACCTAGTTTCTGATTATATTGCACTTTTGGTGGTCTTCGTGTTCTCTGGCTCAGCCAAGATAGTGATTTATCTGTTGTTCATCAGCTTAACCGTGGTAACCAGCTGTTTCTGTCCTCTGGTAGATAGGAAAGACAGAGCTTATTAGCTTAAATGCCTCTCCCTGAAAGCTAGGAGGGG